TTTCAACAACCTGCTTTGTTGTACTCGAGAGCAAAGGAGGGATGTCGTATTATACCCTCCAATGCCTGCACCGCCCCGACCGTCATTCCGTGCTGATGAGAGGATCGTGCCCCCACAAGAGCCCCCAAGGAGGAGCAGAAGAAGGGTGAGAGAAAACATTGAAGAGCTTCGTCCGTCTCAACAAACTCAACTTCCTGAACCATGGCCACATTGTGAGTGGGAAACTAGTACTGAGGGCACCGGAGGGTCGTCAAGCTATGTCGCCACTCAGGAACATGACATGTTCGCCGCCCAAGCCACCCCTCACTTCCACCATCAGCAACAAACTGCTCAGTATCAGACCCCGCTTCAACAACACACATCTTCGACTTTCCACCACGCTTTTGGTTCATCTCAGCCTGTTCAACCCCCACCACCTGTCTACACTCCGGTGGGTGGTCGGGTTAAGAGGAATCCGCGAGGAGTTGTCCAGCGGGCTCGTGAAGAAGGAGGAGGTAGAGAAGGCGGAAGAAGGGGTCGAGGAGGTCGTGGAGGAAGAGGAAGAGGAAGAGAAGGGGAAGTGGAGGAAGAGGGAAATGAAGAGAACCAGTGAACTATCTATGTCGTCTTAATTATGTTTGGTCTTGTGTTGTTTTTCCATGAACTATCTATGTCGTCTTAATTATGTTTGGTCTTGTTTTGTTTTTCCATGAACTATCTATGTCGTCTTAATTTGGTTTGGGATTGTGTTGTTTTTCCATGAACTATCTATCTCGTCTTAATTTATTTTGAGATTGTGTTGATTTTCCCCCATGTTGTACCAAAGTAAACAACAAACATCATTCATTACAATCACTCAACAAGATTAAAACAAGAAGTCCAACTTAAACATCACAACAACGAAAATGAAAAGGAAGTGAACAAAAGAGTACTCAAGGTTGGTTTGTACTCCCCCCGAATCTTGCTCTAGAGGTGGACCTGGACAATGCCTCTTGTCATGATCCGGTTGTCTGCACTTTGAGCAACGCTTTGGACCTCTTCGGGCACGTTGTGATTGATCCATTTCATTGTGGATCCTTTCGGTCCTAGGATGACCTTTGGTGCGCTTTAAGTGCAACGGTGGTATAATCAACTTCCCAGTGTCTACCGGCCAATAAGCTTCATCCGGCAGGGGGCTGAAACTTGACGAGTAGGAGTTCTTGATCGCCTGTTCCATGTAGTAAGGACTAACCAAACTGTAAGCGCTGAGGGTTATCGACTTAGCTACTACCATTGCATGTGAACAAGGTACTCTTCTGTTTTGATACTTTTGGCATGTACACTCTCCGGTGCGAGTTTCTACGTGTAGAGTAACGGATTGACAATTATGCCCACGTCTTCCTCCACCCCATATACCTGTTTGCACAGCAAAAACACCTTCATTGCGGTTGAACAGAACAACCCTGTGCTTACTTGATTTCTCCTCGATCTTCTGCATGCCATCAAATATATGATGTGCTATTGAATGACCAGCACGCTCCCTCCCTATAGCGAGCTTCCGTCTCTTCACAAACCACTCGTTTACCTTCCAGTATGTCATCTCCACTAGGACAGATACAGGCATTGCCCTAATGCCCTTGTAGACTCCATTTATGCTCTCGCCATGGTTGGTAGTTGCAATGCCGAATCTAGCCCCGTTGTCCATATGAAATGTCCACATATGCAGATCTTGACCTTCTGCCCATATTGCTCCCGCCCGGTGTATCTGACGGATCGCCTTCATCTTCTGCTCGTACTTCTGTGGTTGATGTGCAACCGCTACAAGACCAGAGAATAAATAATTAAGTTATAAGAAATTTCATTTCAACAATATGGGCAAGAAGAATCGACTGAACTACATTACTACCTGCACTCCACAATTGATCTCTTATATCTTTCTTCTAGCCAAATTTGTGTTGGAAATTGGCAAGGAAGTGACGAATACACCAGCGCCATGTCCATCCCCATTCGTCGGGAAAACCATTGACGGCGTGTTTAATCCCGGCATGTCGATCCGATATAATTGTAATACCCATTCTTTGTGTGACGTGGGCGTGTAGCTGGTCAAAGAACCATGCCCAACTTAAGTTGTTCTCCCCTTCAACTAATGCAAATGCTAAGGGGAAAATACTTAAATTTCCATCAACCCCAGTTGCAATGAGAAGAGTTCCTTTATACTTCCCAGTAAGGAAAGTTCCATCAACCTGTTAAAAATGAATAATTAGTTACTAAAAATTTAACTTAGTAAGGTAATGAACTAGTACAATATTTTGAGTCCGTAATATACCTGAATCACTGGCATGCAGAAGGGAAACCCGTCAATGCATGGTTTGAATGTCCAGAACAGACGATGAAACATCAACTCGTTCTGTACACGAACTTGATCTTCAGTTTGCACGTTGTTGTACCACGGCACGAATACCGTCCCAGGGTTGGACTCCTCCATTGCGGACATTAGTCGAGGGAGTAAAGCATACGAGTCATCCCAATCACCGTAGACCTCAGCCATGGCCTTCTGCTTCCCATGCCACGCCTTCTTATACCTTATGGTGTAGGAATGTCGATCCTTCACCTCGGCCATAATAGCTTTTATCTTGATATCCGGTTGTGCCTCGATTAGGTGCTTAATGGTTCTCGCCACCTTTTTTGCTTTCAGTTGCCGGTGATCCTGTGAAAGTATGGTTGAGGAGCATCTGTGGTTGTTCTCTACTGTTCGCATGACCCAGACGCCCTTTCTCTTCATATATGTAGCCCGAAGTTGCCACTCACAACCCTCTCCAGCATTCTTACAAATGACATGCAATTGTTTGGTGTCAGAATATTTTACCTTCCATTCGAAGTTACGGCGCATGGCTTCTTCGCTAAAAGAATCTTGCACATCGGCTTTCGAAGTGAATGCCATACCCACTTCCAAAGGAGCAGTCGGATTATACACAGGCATGGGCCGATAGTCAGGGGCATCGTTTTGACCATATAAAAATTGATCAGGAACCTCTGTGTAGTAAGGTGTTGGTGCCTGACGGAACGCCACCTCTCTGTCATCGATATCGTCCGTATCTTCCTCCTCACTGACTGATCTCAAATCTTCCTCACTTTCATCGTCACTAGAGGCGAATGGATAGCTCGACTCAGGATGGTCATCGTTGCCAGCATAACCAACATCGTCTTGTTGGTCATGCGAAGAACGCCCAGATCGAAGGTTGTTCCCAATGTCAGCCCACTTTGGACCCCAAGCAGGCCATCGATCACCGTCGGGCTGAACGATATTGACGGCCGTCTCAGTTGGTTGCACGTATTCTTCCCAACCACCAGCTCCTTCATAACTACCTCCTCCGTAGTTGCTTGAAGTACCACCCCATCCATACCCTCGTGCAGAAGTACCTCCTTCGTAGTTACTTGAACTACCACCCCAGCCATACCCTCCTGCAAAACCATCATCACAAGAATACTGGTGAGAATGAGTTTCACCGACTGGCTCGGTCTCGACATACACCTCTGCAAGCCGCAACCCGTTGTCAGATAGGAACTGTATCATCATGTTCACCGAGTCATCATCGTTTATGACAACTTTTTCGTACACAACTCCGCCAGCACTCATGTTTGGATAGCGGTAGGCAATTTGACCAACTCTCATTTGCCCGCCCGTACAAGTCCTTTCTGCACAAATGTCATGAAGTTCTTGCCACGAGAATCTCGACTCAATTTTTAGCATAGTGGATTCGCCATTTTCATAGTCGATGCCAATGTTCGAGTTTGTCACCCGACCATTCCACCGAATAATAAGCCGAAACTTCTTAAATTTAACCATGTCTGCAATTTATAATAATTAAGTATAGTATATAATTAGTACATTAGGGATACAAAAACAATATCATCCAAACCCATAAACAAACGCATGTAATTGATCTATCATGAGAAAACTAAACAAATTCATCTAAATTCATAACTAATTCACTACTATCATATCATAATTAATCTAAATATATCATAATATATTTTCCAATAACCGCAATTCACTAAATACAGACATATAATTACTAACACATCAACATGTAAACAATACATCATTATAACATACCGACTCCCGATCTATCATGAGAAAACTAATCAAATTCATCTAAATTCATAACTAATTAACTAACATCTATCATATCATAATTAATCTAAATATATCATAACATATTTTCCAATAACCGCAATTCACTAAATACAGACATATAAATTACTAACACATCAACATGTAAACATTACATAATTATAACATACCGAATCCCGACGAGTTTCTTGAGCAGTAAACCAACTCCAAACTAGCTGAGAAAACGATTAATAAAACACTAATTTTTGTACTAATTTTCTGTAAAGTAGCAATAGGGGAAGTGGAGGTCAGTATTTATAGAAATTTTTTTTTGCAATCACCGCCTTGGACAAAAACAGTGATGTGTTCACCGCCATTGTCCTCAGCGGTGATTGCTTGGTAGCTGTGACCTAATTTCCACCTACCAGGCCGGTAAAACGTGTCAATTATCACCGCTTTACACATCAGCGATGATATCATCGCTTTACACATCAGCGGTGATAAGGTCTCCTTTCACCGTTTTAAACCAAAACGGTGATTGCATCACCGTTTTGGTAGAAAGCGATGATGCTTTCATCGCTTTTAACCAAGACAGTGATGCAATCACCGTTTTGGTCCAAAACGGTGAAAGGATCATCGCTTTTGTCCAAGACAGTGATAGCATCACTGTTTTGGTCCAAAGCGATGATACTATCACCGTTTTGGTAAAAAACGGTGATTGTTTTCACTGTCTTGGTTTGCAGCGGTGATAACCAAACTGCTGTATTTTGGGAAATAATTTTATAAGTACTGTATTTTGAGAATTTTTTTTAATAATTAGTGTATTATGGGATTTTTTCCAGACATAGAGGGAGCGCATTTCATGCACAAGGAAGACGAGCAGATTAGTAATTTCACCCATACTTCCATGCCCCGACAACGTCGCACGGCGAATCCCGCGCCGCCGCGCGTCGAAGACTGATCCCTTGCACCGAGCTTCTACACCTGGAATGTCCAATATACCCCTGTTTCTCTCCTTTTTTTTTTTATTTCGTACTTCTTACCCTTCGGAGTCGCCATATTTCTTCTTCTTTTCCTTCCTCTTTTCACAACTCTGACACTCTCATCGTGTCCTCTTCTTCCCTTCAATTCTTCATTTCCCCCCCACCTAGAACCGTAACCCTAAACCACAAATTCCGATCCCAAATCAGGCAACCGCATCAGAAAAGTTTCCGAATCCCCCAATCGCCGATCACAGTCGCGATTCACTTTGCCTTCGTGATTTGCTCCCCGCTACTATGACGAAGGAATTCAATGTGCCACCCGTCATCTTCCCGTCCGGCGGCAATCCGATTGTCACTGGCGGAGCCAATATGCAGCAGCGGCGAGTCCCCACGGCGCCGTTCCCTCCTCGCACTTCCAACGCCGGGATCCCTTTCATGTCATTCGAGATCGGCTCCGCTCCCACCGCCTCCTACGGCAGCGGCGCCATCGGTGGAGGCCCCGTTCCCTCCGCTGCTAATTTCGATGAAGAACCGCCTCTTCTCGACGAGCTCGGTATCCATCCTGACCAAATCTTGCGGAAGACGAAATCGATACTGAATCCTTTCCGGGTTAATTCCGACGTTCACATGGACTCCGATCTATCTGGCCCGATGTTCTTGTACATCTCGCTCTGCCTTTTTCAGTTGCTGGCCGGGAAGATTCAATTCGGGGTGATTCTAGGGTGGATTGTTGTGTCTTCGATTTTCTTATACGTTGTTTTCAACATGCTCGCGGGGAGGAACGGGAATTTGGATCTGCACTCTTGCACAAGCGTGGTTGGCTATTGTTTGCTTCCAGTGGTGATGCTATCAGCAATTTCTCTTTTCTTGCCGCAGGGCGGGGGTATCAGGTTCGTCATATCTGGAGTTTTCGTGATCTGGGCAACCAGGGCTTGCACCAATCTCATGGTGGCAGTGGCCAGAGGCGGAGAAGAACATCGTGGGTTGATTGCGTACGCTTGTTTCTTGATTTACACTCTGTTTTCGTTGCTTGTGATATTTTAGAGCGCAGAACTTGTAGATTAATGAAAGTTCTCTTTGTTTTCTAGTTAATGAAATTTCAGTAGTGCTGGGAATTCCTTTTCGCTGTTACATGTGTTCATGGCTGACTTTGGTCTTTCGTGCTTCTGATGGCCTTATAGTAGACGGAGTTGATGATTTTACCTGTAGATGGCCTAATTCTTAATGTTGGGAAACGTCAATGTTGTTTCTCTCTGTGGTATTTTGCTTGGCACTGAACTTTTTTATGGAGATTCGAAATGAGAAAGAATTGTTGTAATGCTGGTACCTGGTACTTGATATCGTCATTTTTTGGCCTCATCTACGTGTGAACTGAGAACTAAGGATGACAAGTAGTTTGTGTTTTACTAAACTGGGATATACTACGGTTGATAGGTTGCTGAGTTATCTGTTCTTTACTTGCTTATTAGAATTGTTGTATGAAGTGGTGCTCTGCTAACTTGACACATTATTTGGTTTGCATTCTGACTTCTGCAATAGGGATTGCCTGTTTGAAGTATCTGTCTTATTGACGTACGCTAGAGTTTGTAGAATTGATTTAGGGCTTGCTGACTGCTATGTGCTGAACGATGGTTCGCTAGATTTTGCTTGGTTCAGTGCTTGTGATTGTTCTTGGGGTGTTCTATATTCTGATCTGATAGTGCTCCACTGGTTTGCTTTTCCTATCCGTAGGCATTCTAGTGTTTGTTGTGGGATGGTGTTAGGTTTTCATCGTAGGTTGACATAGTAATGTGTTACTTGACAAAGGGACGGAGCTGCCATATCCTAGTTATTTCTCCATCCTAGTCTAACATGAATTTCGGGTTATCTTCTTTGCTTGTTCCTAAGCATTATCTGAAAACATCTTTTGTTCATGACATCAGAACAGTCTGTTTTGTGAGAATGTAGTTGGGATATATGGCCTTGCTTTAGTTATGATGTACTGGTGCTAGGAACAAGGATTGTTGTCTAAACATATATTTTTTTGAGTTCGAAAACGTAGAAGTTTTAGGATCAGTGTTTTTCGGATGTTTTTTTTATATCAGGGGTATCTTCATTATTCTTCCATTTTTGCTTTAGCACAGAGTGCCTGGTCCTAGATGAACCAGGAGTGATCAACTGTGCCAGTTTTTTTATTGTTGCACAACTCTATATGATTTTCACTTGGCAAGCTAACTTGTATCTTGGATCAACGCAGTACAACTGTACAATAGACATGTTCTTTTGGGGACATTCGATAAAACTGGAACGAAACTGTACAACAGACATGCTCATTAGTTAGCTTGTTGGAAATAATACAACTCTGGCATTTTCACTTAAACAGCTTAGAAGTGGATACATATATAAGATGCATGACATGACAGTGGTGTCAATTGAATACTAAATTATTTGCTGGGTTAGTTCTTTAATTACAAGAAAATGTCGTTTTGTAGTTTCTTCTTCACCAAATTTTCCTGGATGGAAACGATTCAGGGTGTAAGAAAGGAGGGAGATATAGGTGGCCTTTCTTCCCCGGCTCATGTCCTCTGCAACTAGTCAAATGAATAATTTTCTGTGTGGTTGTGCAGAACCGTGACGATTCTGGTGAGGTAGGTGGACTGTGCGGAATCCGGAAACCAAACGGATCACACAAAATCTATCCCAATTCGGGAAGCTCTAGCTCCTTCCTAGATTGACTTTGACGAGCACAGAGAGAGGTTTAGTTTTTGTGGAAGACCATTTTTAACTTGTTGGAAAATGACACCTAACGCGTCGGATGAGTGGTTAGACTTACCTCACCAGTTCACCACCTTTTCCCTCTGCCTGCTCCCTCTACATATATAAAGTCTCTCTTGTCACTCCTTAATTATATCACAGGAGATGGAAGTGATGGCGATCAAAGACGATGGAAGCAAGCCGGCAGATTTGTTTTCGGAGCAGGAGGAGGATGAACTGTTTGAGATAGACATCGAGGCGGTGAACAGAAATCACATGTCGTCGGACGCCGATGGCTGCAGCGGAGTATCAAGTGCAAGTTCGTCAAAAGCCGCTGCAACTGCCCTTTTCGCCAACTGCCTGCTGCCAATAGCTCATGTATCCTCTGCGGTTCCCATGGCCAGCGCCGCCGCGACTTGTTATTATTCTGTTGTGTCGTTGGAGGAACAACTCCTTCTCTACAGGCTGCACCGCCGTAACTTTCAGCATATCACTTTCGGGGAGATGTTGTGTCTCACAGATGACGACGAGTGAGAAGAAGAGGAAGGAGGACGGGGAAGCCACCATTGATCTTAGGTTGGTGGAAGGGCGAATTCGATGGAGTTGGGGACTGCTGTTTGTTTGACGAGTGGTGGATATTTGTTGTTCTTGTAGGTTTTTCTAACCAATTGGCTTGACTTGTCTCTCTTCGATGCCACTAGACTATAGGATTACGTACAATACCATGACAACCACCTCAAACTATGTATAGTTTAAGTATTTTGTAGGTGAGCTTTAACTTTCTCATGAGTGGTATTGGTATTATTTATGTTAAGGGGTTTGTGTAAGCTAATTATATTAGGTGCAGAGATGATGAATGATGTATCAACTCGAATGATGATGATAATCATGGATGGTTAGTCTTATTATTATTGCTTATATATAATGATAGTTTATGATGGTAACAACATATGATTATGTTTTATTCATTAACATGATAATTATTTTCATGTAATGTTATGTTATTTGGTTAATCCGATTATCCTATTAACCAAACCAATTAAACTTTAGTTCGGTTAATTTGGTTTTCGTGTTAATTTGGACGGTTTGGTTAAGCCATTTTATTCCATGGTTAATGAAATTTAGACTTAATTGGTTTGGTTATTACCACGGTAACCATTTGAACACCCCCTACGTTTATTAGAAACATGGCAATGAACAAAAAGTTGGAACAACTTCTCTTGTATTTGGCTAGGCCACACATAAATGATAGCATGCCGAAGATGCCAAAGACCCCTAGGCCCAGCCTTACCATACAAGAAAAGATGGGATCAAACATCAGCTCCTCCTTTCTTCATTCGCGGGCGAACCCGATGCACCGTACTTCCAGTGTGGGTAGCAACCTTTGAGGGTACTCGAGGATCCTCTAGGGGCTGCCTTGATTGTAAGGCCTTCGCACCAGCATACTCCTCCTCTTCAGACTCCTCTTGCAAAATCAGCCTTCGTCTCGGAGATTGTTCAAGAACTATCTCAACCTGGTCCTCTGTCTGCTGACGATTGGGCACCTTTCTGGCGCGTCTTCCCTCCTGCTGACGACCCTTGGAGCGCTTCCGAGGGAGAAGTGCAGCATCTCTGGGTGACAATTTCTTCTGGTGCGGGCGGACCCCACCACCAATCTTCACTCGAGGCGAGGCCTTGAAGACAACCCGTTTAGGGCTAGCACGATTCCCTGTCAGATTAAGCTTATGCTCCTGCAGCCTAGGTTGCGCCTCCTTCCTACCATGGAACTCCTGCTCCCCTAAAAGAGGATGATGAGTAGCCTGATCAAATAAGCGATCAATATGCACTGATCGTTCTTCCATTTCACGAGCTCTAGCAGTCTTCGCATTCCCATCATCACATCTTTGAGCATTTTTGTTCACCCACACAGACTTGCTGGCATTGCGAAACTTCGAGTACTCCTCCTCCTCCATGTAGATTTTCCTTCCTAGTTTCCTTGTAGACATATGCGGGCCAAAGCGTTCTTTACCCGGAGGTGGAGCAAAAATACATTTAGGTTTTGAGTGCCCCACGCGGCCACAAAGGTAGCAGAAGGTCGGCAAAAATTCATATTTTAGGTTTACCCAGAAGCTACCGTGCTCGTCCTAACCGACATGAATTGAGACCGCAACGGCTTAGTAAAGTCAATGAGGGCGTGCACTTTGACAAAGCACTCATCTATTTCTCTGGATGCAAATACAACAACTTCCAAGACTTGACCGATTGTTCCGGCTGCCACTTTCCTGCCAAACTACTTAGTGCAGTAGTCCTCTTTCACATTCCAAAGTTGAACACGAAAGGGAGCAATGGCCAAATCATCGAAGGTCAGCCTCGTGATAGACGGTATCCAAGATCGGAGGTGGAAAATCCTGTCTTTGACAATCCAAGGAGTTCGCTTTAGGATCCAAATCCTCGTCTCATCACTTGGAAGAACAATCTCAAATAGGCCATACTTGGTGACCAAAAACCTTAGATTTCCTTGCACCCGCCATGCCTCAATCAAGCCATCCCTCAACTCACTAGGAGTAAACTTGGTCTCTGAGAACAATCTTCCCAAAATAGTTCTCGAGGTTCGAAACTTCACCGATTGGACCTCTTCGAGAGAGAACTCAACCACTTGATCCTCCGCTATACGTGCCATTGTAGTAACCTGACACAAAAGGTTATTTAACGAATTAGACTCAAAGGGTTTAGCCATACCAAAATCAGTTAAATTAAATGGCGACAACAAAAGTAGGGGTCTGGCCACCAAAGGCTCGGCAACCCATAAATTGCGCGGCACCAGACCAAAGCTGGCGACAAGAAAAATTGACGGAAACAGGGCGACACTAGGTTACTCCGCTGACTGCAGGAGCGGCGGGAGCTGAAGATCTTTTCTCGGACTCGTTGCAGAGGGCGTGAGGCCCAGCAGCCCAGAGGGCAGCGAACTACCAGCTCGTGAGGGGATTTCCGTCGCGGAGGAATTGAGAACCTCGGTATTCTTTGAGTAAGGAAGAGACTGGGGGTAATTCCCCGTACCTGATTGGAAAGCAGGATTGAAACACTACTGCAGGGGGACGGTCTCTTTTCTGGCTGCGTTAGAGCTCTCGAAGCGCCGATCAATACACATGGATGGTTGAGCAAGGGAAGCGACATACTTATATAAAACTGAGTCCCTGTTCCTCAAGAAAAAGGAACCCCCCAAAATCCGTCCGTGTTTTTGAGTTGGACTTGGATTAGGAGATATCCGATGGCTTTTGAAGATTCTATACCGAATCGGATCCGACATCCGTTGATCTCGCTCAACCGCCCTGGAAATTCGCGACGAGTTCCTACCGTAACCACCTCGCACCAACACCACCCCGCCAGCTTTCGTTGAGCATCGGCCCACGGACCGCTCAATTCATCGCCGGCGACAATGGGTTTGGACTTGTTTGACGGTAGTGCCACTCTATCACAGCCTGGCAAACCACCACTGACTCCTTCCCCCGAGGGGTTCTTCTGATTAACAAATATCGACTCCTTCCCCGAGGGGTTATTTCTAATTAACACATTTGACACATTTAACTAACAAATTAGATTGATTGTTCCAAAAGAGAAGCAGGGTATACTAGTCCCTTTCATCGCTCGATTTAGCGGCTCTGGAAAAGTCTCAACCCCGAAGGTGTAGATTGATTAGTTCGATTCTTTGGCACAAGGCCATCAATTCTGGCCCGAGAGGGCTGAGTGTTGCTCCCTTCAAGTGAGGGCAAGACAGTTTCTTCATCCTCCAGTTCTGACGAGTGCGGCAGGCTGAATCTCCATGGATTCCGAGGCCTGAGCGGGCATATCTTCTCGACACTCTATTAGTTTTTTCTCCCTCGAATAAATTGATATTTTGGACGTTCATTCTCATAGAAGGGCCGACAATATTCATAATACCTAGTTAAATATTCATACAATACAGTTAGAGTAATCATAGGAGATAATAGTTCATTATCTCCCCAGAGCAATCATAGGGCTGTCAACATTCTAACTATGTTATCTGAATATTATCAACCTTTATTTAAAAGTCTCTTCCAAAACATGCCAAATTTAATTTCTATCTAGATAGATATAAAAAACTAATAGTTTTCTTGTTCTTCATAGAATAATGTCAATAAACAACATTTAACAGTAGAAAATTCCATCTTTGTCATACTAACACTAGTGTGTACTATACATCTGATACAAAAAAGGGGCGTGGCCTAGTTAGACATCAAAGAAAACACAATCTTAAGTAGGGATGGAAGTTTGGTCATGGTTCTTCGTTTAAACAAAACTTTACCGAATTTGACGGTTAATGGCTAACTGATGAGAATAGTCAAATGAAAGAATATAAGGGTTGTGGATTTATTCATCTTTCGGGGGTTCAGTGTAATTTCAAACTGGATTGTAAAACAAAAAACTACATATAATTACAAAACTAAAGAATCCCAAACCCCAATGGCCAACCCATTCGGTAAGCCGAACCAAAGTGAATGACAAATAGGTTAATTAGTTGAACACAATTAACCACAAGCTAACCGCGAATTGAATGTCGCTAATTAATTAATATTTAATAATAATAATATAATAATAATAATAATATTATTAAACCGTAAGTAAACCATAAGTATATTTACTGTTCCCTACGATTTTATCTCCCTTATCGCTATTCATTGGGGGAACTTATACGATACAGCCGGTTTCATTGTTATAATCCCATATATTGCCCACCCTTGGTACGACACGGAGGCTGGCCGAGCTCCTCTATTAGTTTCCTTTCTATAAATTGATGGTTCCTTTTCCTCTTAGTTTGATTTTGTTTGTAATTATGTAAATCCATGACAATTATTCGTTACGTTTATTTAAAATGAAGTTTTTCATTTACTATGAAACCTTCTAAATTAATTTGATGATTTTAAGTTATAACTAAAGTCGTTCTCATTAAGTCATGTGATTTTATAACTATTAATAGTATGTAAAGATTATTAAATGACAATTATTTTTACGTAATTGTTAAATTATTCATGTTATTTAAGATTTTCATAATTGTCCGACACGCTACGTAACGTAATGTCATTTTACAACTGCTATGCAAGATGAAAAAACAACAAATAAATATTACAAAACAACAATTATTTCTCACGTAACAATTAAATAAGACATGTCAGATAACTTAGCAATTTACGTAACAATGCTTATGTAATATTGTCTCACAACTACTATATAAGATAACACAAATTCAAATAGAGATAGTATTAAAAAATTTTCCCGGGAAAATAGCGGATCATTGAAAAACACTCACACACATGAAGGATCACATCACATTCATGTTTTTTTCATGCTCATGACCAATACAGTCAAAAATCGTGATTTAGAACCTAAAATATTATGTTTATATTTTTAGGCCACCAAAACGGTTTTATGTAGAATCACACTTTTCTCTTACAAGTGTAGTCTCAAAATCTACGCTAGCAAACTTAAAAGCTTACTACTCTATGTTTCAAGATCACGAAAATGATTTTACGTAGAATCGCTCTTTTAACTGCATTGCTCATGGTGTTACAATCATGAAAGTTTTTATAGATGATAAGTATGGAATGGATGATGTGTGATACCCAACCTTCTACCACAGGTCATTGGTATTAACTAACTTAGATATTCCATTGATGTCCTAGAGTTGCAAGGAGCAAGTGCAAGTCATTGACAAAGACAGAATAATAGTCAGTGTCTGATATGATATTAGAATTACTAAAGTACAAAAACATAATAATGTCCACTTAAATGTTGTCCATCACAAACTCTGTTTTTCTTTAATCAACTATTTATATATTTTTGTTTCCACGTTACGAAAGAGTTACGTATTACAAATACATCAAGTAAGACTTATTATTAATCACAATGTTTCCAT